TATTGTGTCATACAACAAGTGACACGTACCTCACGTGTATCACTACACATTTATCGTCACAAGAACGATTTTACAGTTTTATGCTACAAAAAAAAAAAAAAAAAAAAAGTTTTTCCAGATCCGTCATCAAGAAAATTTATTTCACTTTTCTTTACGCGTCAATCTCTTTATTTGGTCCTCGGGAAATAAAATGCTGCACGCCTCCTGTCCTAGACCTAAATTATCCAAAAACCACTGTTTCCATGCGCCGCTTTCCAAGATGGCCGCCCGCGGGAGTCATTTTTATGGTTTTCGACCTGCATTGAAGCGGAGTCGTTAAGTTTTACATGAACTCATTCCATTTTTACAAGAATTTTTTTATTTTTTATTACAAATGAAGCAGCAGCGATCTTGAAAAATGGCCACCATCTTGGATTTTCAGGTGGATCGTAGACATCATTACTACTAAATTGGTGCTGGTATCTAATTAATCATTATAATTATTTTGAATATTAACTTAATTTACTGTTAAATAAATCCAGGTTAAATAAATGTTTAGTTATAATAAAGCAAAGTCTCAGTTGATTTTTCTCGTCTAGCAGCAGATTCAGCCAAATGTTCCTCCATCAAGTCTTCTCTCAGATTTTATGCTCCTCTAATCCCGACGTATTTGTTTACCAACAGACTGCAGCCGGTCTAATGTGGGTCAGTCATGTGACTCAGTCTTCCAGGTGGTTTTGGGTTTGTTTACATCGAGTGCATACCTGCGCTGCAGAAATTACCATCAACATCTGAAAAAACTACTGTGTAAACTCAAACTGCAGCATTTTAGATACATTTTTAGCGTTTAAACAAAAGCAAAATAACTGTTTAATGCATTAATTAAATTATAATAAATTATAAAATTTCTAATAATTATAAACAAATTCACTGGTTTCATATTTAGTGCAGCTTTAAATCAAATCTTGTGTCGCCAGCTGCAGCGAACGTCCTCAGATACAACAAAACGCAGACGCAACCTTTTCTTAAGGAAGGAACTTTTCTTTTCCTACAAGAGGAACTAAACGTGTTCGAGGTGGGAGGACGGAAACAGACGCGCAGATAAGAAAACGTCACCTGCGGACCAATCAAAGCACTTCCTGTTATCACAGTGAAACTCAGAGAAAGATTTTATTCTGTAACTCAGGGTTTCTAACAGAATAAATAAAGAAACGCCATGTTTAATGTAACTTACTGTCAAAATCCCTAAAGAATGAAAACACTTAACGAAATGAACAAAAAGTATAAATGAATAAATAAATAAGTAGAGAATCATTAATTGTATACAAAAGCATAAAAGCTACCAGATGTTTTCATGTGAACGAAGATCAAAATTACCGTAATTTCCAGACTATAAGCTGCAGCTAATTTACACTTTTTTTCATTTAGTGGGCGAGACTTATTTTCAGGTGTGCGCAATAATCCAGAAATTACAGTCCCTAAAATATCTGAGATTAAACTGTTCATTGCAACAAACCTTAAAACACAATTTTCAGTGTAGTTGGTAAAAAAAAAAAAAAAACAATGGCCCAAAGGAGAGTTAAAAATGAACAATGTAAACATATGAATTAAAGTCTAAAATAAAGTGTGTTTAAATAGAGTTGTCTGAGTTTCTCCTTCAAACTCTTGTTTTTATGATTGATGTGAAATGCAGATAAATATTAATCGTTTACTTCTCCAAACAAGCCTCATAAATTATACAGAGTTTCATTTACATTTTAAAATCCGTTTCCTATAAATTATTTATATACATTAAAAAAAAAGAGGCTAATTTAAATTTCTGCTGTGAATAAATGCAGCAAAAATGTCATTGATGGAGAAATTAACGGCTGGTTTTGAAAAACAAAAAGTATACAAAAGTGACCAAAAATATTTACATAAAATTTAAAATATTGTTTAAGATCTTAAGTTTAATTCTGTTTAGGTTTTAATGATATGCTTAATTTAACACGAAGATTAATCCAGATTTAATAAACAACTTGGCATAATAAGTACATTAAAATTTTATTAATGTAAATAATATTCAAGAAAATAAGGCATAAACTGAAAACCAGAGTAAAAATTAGTATTTTTATGAGGAAAGCTTTGATGTGTCGGAGCTGATTTTAAGACTTTTACCGCCACCTAGTGGCCACTTAGAGGAACTACACATTCAGGAAAACAGGATCAACTTCCTTTTAAAACAAAAACATTTATCAGTTTGACTAAATATGTGGCATAAAACTCTTTGTAAAAAGTGCATGTGGATGAAGTCAGGAACACAAAGAGTCTTTGAAGACTAAAGTCCTGTCCAGACTTTAAGAATCAGACTCTTGTGCTGAACAGTCGGTTTTTATTTCTCGTTTCCACTAAAAACACACTCAGTCCTTTTTATAATAACAAACAAACAAATGATCATTGAAGTTTGTTTTCTTCCACTGATCATTTAGCAGAAATATTAATTTATCAATTTAATGTTTGAAAAACAACTGCTGGATACTCAGAAAAGTAAACAGCATGTTTGAGGGGAAAGAGATCATTTTCACAGCAGCAACAGCTAAAACACTCATATTTATCATTTTGACGGGAAACTGAGTAATATAACAGAAAACAGTGTTTTTATTTTATTTTATTTTAGATTTTACCCTAAAGTTTTGCTTGCCTCGCGATGACTTTTGGATGCAGGTTTAATTTATCTTGTTGATTCTGAATCTGTTAAAATGGAACAAAGTTGAACTTCACAGAGCAGGAGTTCAACATTATTTAAGCTCTGCGTGTTGCAGTTAACTCGTCTAATGTTTAGAAAGTGATGTAATCTGGGCTTGTTGAAAACATCTGTTACCTGTAAACACACATACAGATGTTGGAAGTATTGTGCGACAGGTTCCTACCAGCAGTGATTATCTGGACTGTCCAGGGATATTTGGTCATTAAGGTCTGGTAGGATCTCCACAGGCCTGCCATGTTGACTCCTGCAAAAAAAATAATAGTATTAAACACAAAAAGTTGTTTCACTGCAAATAATAGTGCATGATGTTTCCACATGAACTCATCAGCAGATAATGTGATAAATCCTGAAATAACTCATTTTTCTCGTGCTTGTTTACCAATTAACCTATTCTAGTAATTATTTTATTTCCATCAAGCCTTGATAACTTCACGAAGTAAAAGCAAACATTTTTAATTTACATCAATAACTTTAAACCCGTCAGTTGCCTTTAAAGAGCATTACCATTAAATATAACATATAAAATGTTAAAATCTAAATTGTCTATATATTTTAAAGCCGAATTAAAGATCAAATCCAAATAGCTACTAATGAGCCACAAACTGTTTAGTAAACTGAAGCACAGTTTATTAAAATTCATAAAAACTTACAATCCACCATAATTTGAATGAGATTCGGCGTCACGAGATATCTCGTGCTGCTAATTAGGCTAACGATTAAAATCGACATCCGTGTAGCAGATTATCACGAACAGACTAAACATACTGTAAAACTCGAATAACTCGTTTAAACAAATTGTAACTTTGGATAAGTGAATGTGACAGTTGTAAATGTACAGGTAGGTCAGGTACGATTTTTGGTAGTTTCGGCTTTAAAATGTCACTTTCATAACTAAACTAAAACTTTATAAACAGCGTGTTAGTTTGACTCAGCTGTGTCGCGTTTAAAGTTAATGATGAAGAAAGTGATAAATAAAACTGAGTACATGCCTGTTGGTGTGAACAAGGCGAGGAGTGAAGATGCCTTCACGGACTCACGTCAGCTCCGAGCTTTAATGTTTCTTAAAAGTTTCACAGTCAAAACGAAAGTTTACAAATCTAGAAATTTAAATAAATGCTTTCAAACTATAGCTAGCGTTCTCACTTATAGTTAGGTTACTTTTATTTGTAACTGTTTACGCTCGAGATCTTTTATTGAATAATTAATTCAACCTGTTCAAAAGTTTTAACAATACAGTGGCTCGAAAAAAAACATTTTTGTCTTCAAAATAAAAAAAGAAAGGTATTGTAATAATCTTATTTAAATTATTAAAGAGCAGGCATTGTTTAAGTAATACAAATTATTTAATAGCTATTAACGTTTTACAAATTTTCCGACTTAAACATTATTTCCTACGGTCCCCAAATGTACCAAAACGAGTACGTCACTTCCGTTGTAATACTAAAATATAACCGGTGCTGCCATCTAGCGGACAAACTTGGTACAAATAAAAATCCCAGATCCATTTTTTTGTTTTATTTAGCGTTATTTATTTTGTACAAATACCTCAAAGACAAACGCAGCTTTATCACAAAAAGTGTTGCATTCAAAGGGAATTTAAAAAAAGTTGATAAATTGTCCTTTAGGAAGACTGAAGAGTTAGGATTGATGCCTTCATGGCTCTATGTCAACTCCTTCTTTTAACTTTTTAAATTTTTTATTAATGCGCACCTTTTGAAGACAAAATACATGACTCAAGCGATAAAAAAAAAATATATATATTTAACTTGGATGTGCATTTTCATGTAAAAGTAGTTTAATTTTATTTAAAGTCTACGCCTGTACATGTGCTAATTTAACTTGTGCTTCAGCCATGCCAGGACCAATAAAATGCCTTTAGATCAACACAAAATAAAATAGATTACATTATTTCATTTAAAAAAATCATTACATTAGCATAGATACGTTTCTTTAAACTTAATTGTTTTTTCCTACGGCACATAAACACCCCATCAACTGTAAACAACCTAAAATGAACTGTGCTGCCCTCTGGTGGACAAACCTGGTATAACCCATAAATTTTCACACATCAGACAGCAGGTTTGTTTTCAAGTATTTATTTATTCTGTGTAAGTGGCACCACATGTTAATTACAGCACAAACAGCTGTTAAATTAACAACTCAGAGCACTTAAACCAAACCTCTGTGGGCTGCTTATTGAAATCAAGATGAACGTTATGGCATCATTCTGTAATAAATTGTGCAGTAACAAGCTTCCACAGAGGTGACAGTAGCTGAGATTTCTTTCAAGTAATTTGTGGCATTTTGATTTTAATCACACGCACACATTAAATGTTTCTTGAGACGTCAGCAGAAAGTTGGCGACAGCCGGATGTAAATAAAGGTAGTTTATGGTGACAATGTCTAAAAGCTGAAAGTTTACCTTCGACAGCAGGTGCAGTAGCAAGGCCTCAAAGTAGAACACCTGAAGTGAACACTACCTCTTCAATACTTGCTCACCTGATGAGCTGTTTTAAATACACGTTTGCAGAATCACTGAAAACCATGAAAATGTTCTGGATATGGTTCTTTGTAAACAACAATAAATAATAACATGACCCAAAAAAAAAAGCAGCGAGTACAGTTTCCAAACATAATCTGGCTCTTTGTTAAATTGAACTTATATTCTAAAACAGTTGTGAGGTTGTGAAAAATATAAATAAAAACAGGATGTAATGGCTTGCACATCTCACAACCCCATTTTTTATTTATAATGGAACAAATTAACTATTTTAAACAGAAATTGCACATTTTGGGGTAAAAAGAATGTTGAATATGAAACGCATCTTTAAAAAAAAAAAAAAGTCGTTATCAGCACAGTTCAAAAGCTTGCCTCGCTGATGGTATGGGGGTGCATTTGTGCATGTGACATGGACAATCTGTAAATGTGGACAGGAACAAAAAGCAGCCAAGTATATACAGGTTTTAGAAGAAAATCTGCTCCCATCCAGAAAAAAACTGCCGAACAGCCATAATCCTCCATCAGACCAGAATGGGACAAGAATCCTTCCAAAACCTGCAGCAGCTGGTCTCAGGTCCTGGACGTCTGCGGACTCGTTAAAAGAGCGGACGCTTCAGAGGGAAACGTGCACCTGGAACGACGTGTTACTGCCATAATATTAAAAATAACTTGATTTTTCTTAAACAATCGTAGTTTCTTAGTTTCCACGTCAGATATGTTTACTGTGTTTAACTGTGAATAAAAAGGGGTTTATGAAATTATCAAATCATCGAATTCTATATTTATTTTATTACACGTCACAACTCTTTCAGAACTGAAGCTGCAGACTGAACAAAAAGTCCCGGTGACTCAGGCCCTGCAGATTTGTTTTAAGTCATTAAACTCGTATAGGTGCCGTTAAAGGAGAGTAAATATGTTGCAACAGATGCTGCTTTGTTCAAGATTTCAACAACACCAGCGGCTTCTGGAGTCAAACTCACAACTGCTGCGGTTCAAACCTTTTACTTGCTATAAATTGACCTGATTTCTGCTGCAGAAAATATTCACGTTGTTGCTTTGAGAACACTGAGAAGAAAAAAACTAAACTAAATAATAAAAAAAGAATGGAGAAAAAGACACGATTCACGAGATTTAACCTCGTCATTTCAGGATTAAAGAAGTCTCTTTTTTTTTTTTTTTCTCCAAGTAATTTTCATCGTTGTCCCTTTTGGTGAAAGTTGCAATAAAGTTGCAAACAAGTCGACTCTTTCCAAGCGAAGCTGAGAAACCTTTACCCAGCTTCATATATTACTGTACAATTGTCTAAAAACAATTTAAAGTTGACGCGACTTATTTGTGCAAAACAAAAGATTAGAGATTCGATATTTGGCAACATTTGAGTTAATTAAAATGGAGCTCTAATCTCATTTTTAGAGAGCTGGGTTTAAATAATTGATTTAATCTACAACAGCTGGTCTAAAGAGACTTTAATGTGCAATCAAATCCCTGCAGGAACTCAGATTTTAAGGCTCTCTCAGCGCATAAATTAAAGTTTCACATAAACTGTCAGTGGGAAAATTATTAATAATAATAAAAATAATCTGGAACACATAGTTTAGGATTTCGCCTTTTTTTTTTTTTAAAGCGGAGGAAGAATTAAACTTGGCTGTGTGAGCGTGAAAATCTGTGACGAAACTCCAAACGTTGGTCCCTTTAAAGCAGCTAAATCCGCCGCTTCCGTCGTGAAACGCCCTCCGGTTGTTTCAACAGGAAGTAGAATCACGCTGAAGGAAGTCCACGGCCTCCGGAACGTCGACGAGCGATTCCTCGACAAATCTGGTCACGGGTAAATGATTCTGAAACAATCTTTACTCCTTCGTCCTCCTCAGAGGTCCATCCCGTCGTCACTTTCACAAAAGTCTGACGGAGCGTCCGTGCCGAAGTAACGGTCTCCAAAATTACCTGGAAAAAACAAAACAGTTTATTCTCAACTGAGCCTCGCTTTAGTTCTTTTAATGGTTTCTTTTCAAGGAAGACCAGTTTGAATCCCAGGCTGGTTTACCTAAAGTTTGATTAAACGTTTCACCTGAAACTTGGTGCAGTAACAGCTGAGACTGATCCTGTGTGTTAGCCAAATATCACGAAGCACTGAGTGAAACGTGAACATCAGTAACGGATGAGCTAATTAAGATGGCGGCCTGAAATAAATGGTTTTAGAAAACACAAGAACTAAGTCAACTTTACGGACGCTGAGGTCAGACTTGGTGTGGTAGTAGCTGAGAGTCATCCTCTACACGCACTCGGAGCACTAATATGTTGTGCGGTGCTGTAACTTTATATTCAAGGTATAAAACAAAACTATTGTTTGTGATCGTGTGCTAAAGAAACAAACAAAACAAAGTGCATGTGTGTGTGGACGTTTGGCAACACGACAGACAGAAGCAGAAGTGCTTTGTGGTAAATAATTTGTGCGGCGTGGCGCCTCACCGATCCCTGGGATGATGTGGAACTGGTCGTTGACCTCCTTGTCCACGGCCGTGGTGATGATGCGGACTTTAGGGAAGGCGTACGCCACCGAGTGGACGCCCATCTCCGCCATCAGCAGGGACAACAGGAAGATCTTGTCCTCGGCCACATCGTGGTCCTTCACAGAGGAGAATCAAAGCCGACCCAAAGAGTTTAGCCACGACGTTGCTGAGCTCTTCAAATGTTTCGTAACGGCTGAACCAACTGAGCTGCTGCTTCGCTTCAGAGGTTCGACCGAACGTCACCTTCCTGGTGTAAGAGCCGAGTCCTGTTTAGGTTCTTCAGCATTTATTAGTCAAACTACTTCCACTTTGTGCCGTTTTATTCACCCAACATCAAGACGTTCCGCTCGACTGGGAACTGTACAAGTTTTTATTTCATATAGTTTCCAAATATTTAACATTGTTTAAAAACAAATTTAATCCCTGACATACACAGATTTCTTAATTCCTTCAAAAACAATGTTCCCTTTAAAATCTATTTCAGCTACTGGCACTGTCATCTGAAGCTACTTTTAGCTACTATTTTAGCATTTTTAGCTGCAGTTTTGCTAACTTTAGCTACTGTTAGCTGATTTTAGCTTTAGCATCTGTTTAATTAGTTAAAGTTGTTAATTATGAAATATAATTTAGATGAGTATTATTTCAGCTACCGATTAGCAAATTTTAGCTTTAGTATTAATTTAGCTACTTTTGACTATTTCATTTGTTTTATTAATTTTACCTTTAGTGCGTTTTGCTAATTTTAGCTTTATACACGTTTTAATATCAGCTACTGTTTTGCAAGATTTAGCTTTAGTATTTAGCTACTTTTGAATATTTCATTAGTTATACTAATTTTATCTTTAGCACATGTTTAGCTAATTTCAGCTACTGTTTTCCTAATTTTAGCTTTAGTATTTATTTAGCTACTTTTGAATATTCTTTGAGTTATACTAATTTGACCTTTAGTACGTTTTGCTAATTTCAGCTACTGTTTTGCTAATGTTAACTAATGTTATGCCTTTTAGCTACTTTTCCAGTTTTTGCTGCTATTTTACTCCTTTTAGTTTTTATTCTTCTGCTTTTAGTTTTGAGCTTTTAGCTACTGTTCTGTGTTTTCAGTTTTAGCTCGTCTTCTGCTAGTTTAATCTTTAAAAACTCAGCTTTAGCTTCTTTAGAAACCTCAGCATCATTCGCTCCATCTCTTCACAGAAAAAAACGTTTGTGTAGCTGAAGATGAATTTAAAGCTCGGCGAGGCGAACAAACGTATCGGGCGACCCACCAGCAGAACCCTGACGGCCATGAGGGCGGCCGCTCCGGTGGACACGGTGCTGTCCATCAGGATGACGTAGTCCTCGCTGATGTCTTTGGGTAGACGGAGGTAGTGAAGCTGGAGGAGGAAGGAGAAGTCGGCGAACAGGATTAGGAACGCTCAGACGTCCCGTACCGGTACCGGTGGATCCAAACGCACAAACCTCTGGTTCTCCGGTGTCGTGGTTGGTCTGAATGAGGATCTTCCCGAGTCGGATGTCTTTACAGACGGCCATCAGAGCCTGCTCCATCGTCTCCCCCGCTCTCAGGATGGAAACACCCGTGATCTGAAGGGAAATACAAGAATGAAAATGAAACGGAAACACTGGTGCTTTCAGAGTTGACCAGCCTCAGGAGTATGTGGACATTAGAAATGAAGTTTCTTCTGAGCTGCAGATTTCCTCTGAGACTCAAAACACAGAGTCAAAATGGACAGAGCTGCTCTGCTGTTGCCTAAAAATGAGTGTTTGTCTCCAAAGTTCTTACAACACGTCTTCAGGTGAAATTGTTTCGGCTTGTGTTCACTGCAACAGCCACCGCGCAGGCCCTGCAGTTTTAACTGAATACCCACAATCCTTCACTGCGCAGCCAGAATCTCACAGAGCCAAGCTGACGAGCGGCGTTCACGAGGAAGTCTCCAAAACGTCTCGAAGCGTTCTCGGAGTTTTCTCGAGTTCCTCGCTGGTCGCGTCGCTTGAATTTTGAACTTTTTCAAGAAATCTGTGCCACAAACGATCTCTTCAGAGCGGCAGAGCCGTCTCAGACCCTTCGTATATTAGTTTCTGTAACCTTAGGGCTACCGTAATGTCTGGACTATAAGCCGCTACATTTTCCTCGCACTTTGAACCTCGCGGTTAATTTATGGATTTTTTTTTTTGACGGGCTAACGAGCTTCACGTAGCCAAAACATTTTGCTTCGTCCCACTCAGGCGCTCACACAGCTGCCCAGTACACGTCTCTCTTGGGGGGTGGGTCCTCGTACTCAATGAGACGATCAGTATAAATAAAGTTTAAAAAAATACGACCAATTAAATTATTGAACAGGTCACAGTGGAGCCACTGGGGAGGGGGGGGGGGGACTCCCCGTTGTGCCACCAGGGAGGTGGTGCAGGAGGAAGATGAAGGCAGCATCAATGACTTCCTGGTAGGCTGCTGTATTTATTTATTTATTTTTTTAACCAGATTTGTTGCAGGCACTGTTCAGAAAAAAAAACATTTACTATTTGTGTTTGTTACCGGTACATATTTAATTAAAAGTTTAAAAAATCTTTTTGTGTAAATATCTCATGTTACAAAATGAACTGTGCTTAAAGACAAGCGCAGCCTATATATGTACTTTTAAATTTTTTTATTTAGCAGGCGTGGCTTATATTCAGGTGTGCTCAATAGTCCGTCAATTACGGTATTTTCAGAGCTCACCTGTTTATTTCTTTATCACACTTAAGAACAATCCGTTACTGGATATAAAGTCAGTGACAAATTAAACTTTATTAAAACAAAACCCAAGTTAAGACCAATTAAATAAATCAGTTAATAAGCTCAGTAAAAATCAGGATTGTTCAACTGGAGCTGAAAACCAGAGAAAATTATATTTTTTCTCATCAGAGATTTATTTTTCATAAAAAATGTTCCGTCTTCATTTTTCTTCGTCGTACTCCACAGGGATGAATCATGCGCGTGTGCAGGTGCCGCGCGGGGCGCAGAGCGCACGAGGTGGGCTGTGATAAATGATTTGCATCGTTCTGCGAGCCGTGAACCAGACGAGACGGCCAAGGTTTCAAAAAGTAGCCGCTCGGAACACGGTGGTCACAAACGTTCAGAATCCAGCGAAGCGTCACCTGAAAAGTTTTTCCATTTTCTTGCGAGTCTCAAACGTTGCAGAACGGTGAGATTCAGACTGAAGTGAACAGAAACGTCTCAGGGCAAACAGAAGCCATTGAAGAGACGATGTTAACCACCAAGATACATCCATAGTGACTTACTCTTTTTCCACTCAGCCTTTTCCCCTCGTAGATGGTACCCTGATGCGTTTCCACGGAAACGGGCTGGACAGAAGAGGACACGGTGAAGGGAAGAAGGTTTGCAGTAATGATGGCGTTTCTGCTGTAACTAAAACATAATGAAAGACGACGCTCCGCTTCTGCGTTCAGATGAAAAACTCACCTTGAGAGGCAGGAAGGAGAGGGCATGTTCTATCAGCAGCCTCATTAATCTCTTGGAGTAGAAGATGAACTCGTCTCGGTTCGTCTCCTTGTTCCTAAACAAACGCACAGAGGGCAGCAGCAGAACCAGGTGATTTGGACCCGCAGCCTGAACCCCGACGCACATTCTGACCTCTTTACACCGTCGAAGGGTTCTAGCAGAAACTCATCAGTCTCAGCAACACATTTCAGCTAAATGTGAGCACCGTATTTTTTGTCATGTAAGTTGCACCTTTTTGCATAAATTTTCAAGCCCTGCGACTTACACACCGACGCGACTAATGTACGTTTTCTCTCCATATTTATAACCCAATTTTTGAACGAGATCTGATTATTTCATTCATTCTGACATGGAAAATATTGAACACTACCATTTTCAGCCACTAGAGGGTGTTCGACTAAAATGGCAAGCCAAGTGTCTCATTAATAGGTAAAAGTGGCTATTAATGAGACACTTGGCTTGCCATACCAGCTCCCTTCGTCTCGCTCTGAAACTCCCGGAGCAAAGGTCAAACCAGCTGCACTTCGCTGCGCCGCCCAGACGAAATGCAGCTGGTTTTTTACCATTAAAGTGCATTTGTTAAGGAAAAGTCCAACTGAGACACACCTTTGCTATAATTTCGAGCAAAAAAATTGTTTTTAAGTGTTAATCTTGTTAAATTCTTGTTAACGTCCTACCATGCACGCTCCCGCGACCGCCACTTGATTTTTGGCACAACACCGGCGCACATTTCCGGGTGGTCAGCGGTGACACAAACAGATGTGACTTATACGGCGAAGCGACTTATTTACGTTTTGTCTTTCCACTTCATTAGACATTTTTGGACTGATGCGACGTGTATGGCAGCAACTACGGTAATTTCAATATGACTTAGTCAGTAAAAAAAAGCATGTTTGTGTGTTCTCACCTGATGATGGTGTGCATGCCGCGGACCTGTGGCGTGCTCTCCAGCACACTGAGGGTTTTGGGTAAAGGCTGACCCTGGTGAGCCGAGGCCAGAGCTGATCTGTTCACGAACACATTCACAGTTATAGACTTTTCTATATTTCTACAAAAATCACATTTAAAATGTTTTTATTTGCACCGTTTGTCATGCTCTGCTTCACTGTGAGTGAAGGTGGCAAGAGCAAAAGCTAAAGTCACTAAATTGTTTTGATATTCTCTTTAAAATCTGCTTTTCGTTTCAAGAAAAGTTTATTTTTAAATTGCAGAATAAAAAGCGTCTCCTCAAAAACAATGGCAGCACGTTATGTTTGAGGAATACAGCTTATGCCAACATGATCAGATCGGCTGAAGATGATCACCCCCCAACTAACTCACATGAAGACTTGGAGATTGATTTTACGCCGGATGCCCTTCCTGATGCAACCACCGAGCTACCAGAGAGCTGCCATCTAGGACGCCCGGGGGAGCAGATGGTGGGGGTTAAGGGCCTTGCTCAAGGGCCCAGGGTAAATGAGGGTAAAGGCAGGTGTGGGTGCTTCACCTTTCCCATCAAAATTTTGATGTTAGTCCAAGGATTTGAACCTGTGACCTTCCGATCACAGGCTCGCCTAGCTTCCGTGCCACCACTTTTTACACTCTTGTATTTTATGATTCATACATTTTTTATCGGTTCAAGACAGAAATTGGATTCATGGCGTCCAAAAAAATAAAAATAAACCAGGAACTAACAAATGTGTGCTGATATGAATAAAACATTTTTCTTGGTGTAGCTGAAAATAAAAAGGTAAAACGTTAAACACGATTTTAATAATTTGGCGTCTGGAAACGCGAATGTTTTTCCATCCTGAAAAATACTGAAATCTAATTTTTCATTTTCCCAGAGTGCAAACGAACGACCGTTCTCGCTGCTCGTTTAAAAGAAGGAAGCTGATCGGGGTTTTAATGAAAAGCTTGAGGTTTCCCAAAGATGAGACTAAATCTGGTATTTCACTGGGCTGAGACGAACTCCAGACGGCGTTCACGAGGCGGGTTGCAAGATGAATTTTATCAAAGTCGCCGCTGGAACTCGTTTTGAACGACAGTTTAGTTTCCACGAGTTGGGGGGAGAAATGTGAGACAACTCTGGCAACATTTGAAGCCAAACTGAGACTGGACACAAAAAAGAAAATAATTTGTGACTAAATTGAGACACGACTGAGACACTTTGTGACTAAATTGAGATTAAATATTTAACATGTCATTTGCAAGAATTTTACATCAATGTCCTAATTTAATTGCATGTAAGTAAATATTACCAACTCAGTGGGTTCCAAGAATAATTTCTATATTTTCTTACAATTTTGTGTCTCCAACCCCAGCGGGACGAACAAGCTTCACATTTTGTCTGATTGACCAAACATTCAACATCTGTGCTCACCTGAGAGATTATTACTACAAAAACACTACATGCACGTGTCCTGACGCACGCTCAATAATCCAGGTAGAAAAATCTAACAAAGTTAAGTCAGGTGGTTTCTTTTTTGTTGAAACGTTTCATCTTTAATCCAAAAGACTTTAATAAATAATCTGAGGCGCCACAAACGGCACCTTCACATAGAGGATCAACCAGTTTGATGGTGCTCAGATGGTTTCTGGAGTCCGCCCTCTCCCCTGCTGACTCATATTCATTCAACCTTTACTTATACAGATAAATCACATTGAGCCTCAAAGACTCATTTACAAGTGAGACCTGTTTAGACAGATACAAGTAATGAAAGTGACACATGTACAGGATTTGGAGGCAAAAAAAAAAAAATCCTAACAGACTCTTTCCTTGGCCGAGGAAAGATAGCCTGAAATAATAAAAAAAAAACCTGAACATAAGCACATAGTGTTGCAGACATACTGCAGGGGAGGAGAGACGACAAGGGCGGTGAGAGTGTCCAAGGACACTCCAGAGGCACTGTAGGAGTTCTGATAAGAATGGTACAATCAGGCAGTTCCCTCTGGTGAGATCTGCAAACACTCTCGAGGTCGACCTAGGACAGCACCACAGAGAATCCAAGAGTCCTGAAATGATGACACAATGTTTATTCAGCCGGTTCCCTCTGACAGGGCCGAAGACTTCCTCAGTGGGAGGGAGCAGAGCATCATATTTACAGGGCCTCCAGGCGAATTGAAATTATGGTTCAGAAGATATGTAGAGAGGCTCTGAAGCATTTTCACAGACAGGACAGAGCAAAAGCAAAGTGGAGAAGAGAGGGGAGGGGAAAAGCTTCCGCCCTCAATAAGAGCAAGCGGTGAAGCTGAATATGAGGCAGTCATGGTCAAAGTGGTTCAAAATATTCTGATTCAACCACTGATTTGAACCACATTGGCCATGACTGCCTCAAACGAGTCAGCGGGGAGGACTCCAGAAACCATCTGAGCACCATCAAACTGGTTGACCCACTATGAGAAGGTGCTATTTATAAGACTGAGTTTGTTGTGGCTCCTCGGACTGATGAAGTCTTTTGGATGGAAGACGAAACGTTTCAACAAAAAGCAACCGTCCAGAGGACCTGACTTAACATTGTTACAACACGTGCATGTGTTTTAAAACGTTTTCTACCTAAAATAATTTGGGTTAGCCGACAGAGAGGTTGAAGATAAGAACACAGAGATGCTGGCAGTGTAATAAAAGCAGCAGACAAATCTCAACACAAGCCAAGCCATCCTTAAAATCTGCAGCCATGGCACACCCACGGTCAAACGCATGCTTTTATTGTGTTACAAAGTTTCTGCCGCTCTCGTCTTGTTTGAAATGCACTCAGCCGCTACAAGAAATAAGGCATGCCTTTCAAAATGTCAGCCACAAGAACAAGAATGGGTCATCCAGGGCGTTAAAGATGGCAAACATGTTTGACGCAGACATCATTCCTCAACGCATGAAAAACTGCCAAACTGTGCTTTCAAACTACAACTATAAGAAAAAGGTGCACAAGGCGGGTCTCACATGTCCCAGCGGAGCTTCCTCTGCAGAAACATTCATTTGTTGGGATTCAAAAGGGAAGAGAAGAAGAAACACGTGAAGAGACAAGAAACTCTAAAGGAGAAAGGGAAGAACAGCCCGGAGACATCCCTGATGGGAAACAAAATCCTTTTTTCAGTTCTGCTCATTCATCCGGTTTAACTCTGCAGACATTTCTGAGCAGCCCGACTTCCTGCACATCAACACATTTTATAAATAAAGAGCTTCATACAGACGAACACTTTTCGATCAACTCACTGTCCACTTAAAAAGATGTTCTGTTCATTCTTGAAGGAACAGGAGCTGGGATCATGCTAGCAGTTTGATCACCTCTGTTCTGTACATTTATTGGGTATTACGTAGCGAAAACATCCGATGTAACGGCATGAAGCAGAACGAACAGGCAGCAGGAGTGCTGGGCTGGTTGCAGGTGTCGTGGAAAAAAGGAGGTTTCCAAACAGACCAAGGTGTAGTTCATCAGATTTATTCACAAAGCTTTGGAGAGCAGTCCAACATTCACAGAACATGCAACTACAAGATTACACTCTTATCGATGCTCTCATCCTGACCTGCTCTGACTTCCTGAAATGGACAAGTTAGTTTTATAGAATAACCTCCAGCCCTCAGCCCCTCCGTGTCCGAGCCTTCATCCAAAGGGCCAATGCAGACAGGAAGCAGTGGAGCCGAGTCAAGGACTCTGCTTGAAGACACGTCACTATATCATATCAACTCTGTCATATCAATATCATATCAATATCATATCAGTCAGCCCTTGAGAATATCAACAAAACAACCAGTTCTTTCTGCTCCTCACTGACTGGTCACAGTGATTACAAGTGATTGCATGGGACCGTTAACATCACACATCACAAACGTGAGCAGGAGAAGGACATTGCAGAACGTTGCCGCAGGAGTCACCGATCATGATGAGTGCAAATAATAGACATGACACTGACAGCAGGTTTCTGTGGATTGATGTGAACTCGGCTGCAGGGGCAAAAAGTTCATGTCTGAAGCAAATGAAGACGAAAGTCATGATAGCGTCTAGATTCACCCACAAAACGTTCCATCTTGATATTCTACTGTAATTCTTCTTTTTCTATAAGCTCTTCCCTCTTTCCTCCATCTGTCCTCTGTGTCCTCTGTCCTCACTCCAACTACCTCCATGTCCTCTCTAACTGCATCCATACATCTCCTCTTTGTCTTTTTCTGGCAGCTGCATTTCTAACATCTTTCAACCAATATACCTACTGTCCCTCCTCTGGACATGTCCAAGCCACTGTCAGGAGACCAAACCATCTGTGTCTTCAACAGGCACAGTTGGTCTAACGGTTATACGTGGCCAGGCCTTCCTTGGGTGAAGGTGTCTAAGGTACGGGCCAGAACACCCAGTGAACCTGACGTTAACTTTGTTCGAAACTCTTTTCAGTCGTTGGACAGATTTAGAGAGCTCCATACAGAAAACACAGCTAACCCTGGTTGAAGGGTGTGGTTTAAGATGTGATGGTTCCACGTACTGGTT